CTAATAAAAGACTAGTGGCCAATTGGGAAATGATAAAAGAGAGGATTCATACAATTTATGTTCCTCCAAATACTACTCTACAACTAAAGGATGAGTTGAGTAGGCTAAAGCAGACAGAAATTATTCGAGAGTATGTGAATGCATTTATGGTGAAGAGGATCCTTTTCATGGATATGGGTGATATGGATGCATTCCATGCCTTTATATTAGGCTTACAAACCTAGGCTCAAGGTGTGGTGATGTGTTGGAACCTAACCAACTACAAAGAAGTATTAAATGCAGCTATTAAATTGCATTTTAATTATAACCTACAAAAGGGGAACATAACAGGGTCAGAGTCCATGTTTAGCAAAGGAGCCAAACTAAAGGGGACATATGGCAAAAGGAAATTCAGGAAAAGTTTCTCTAAAAATGAGAAACTCTTAGAGTTTTAGAAAGGTATATTTAGTAGTTAATGAGCAAGTATGTGGGGGAGTTAAGTGAAAAGGGATAAACCCATTGATAATAAGGTCAAGTCTACTAGTAGCATGGGAAACAACATATACTTCAACTATGGTGAAGCAAGATATTTTTTGAGAAAATGTCCCTACTCAAAAAAAACTAGAGTCAATATGGTCATTAAGTCAAGTGAAATCCAAACTAAGGCATGTGATCCAGTCCCTAGCTCAAAGTTCCTCATTACATGAGCAACTTTCATAGAGAGTCATTCACAACATTTATTAGCCCTTTGAGAAAAGCTCGAAGATAGTTTTGTTAAGATCCTTATTAATACATGTGCTTTAGATAATTTTGTGGCTGCAAACATAGTCCAATAAACTGGACTAATAGTGTAGCAGCTGAGTAAATAAGGGACTATAGAGTTTGTTCAAGATAGTTAAAATACTGATAAGGTATTTCAACAAGCAAGAGTTGAAATAGGGACAAATAAATTTATCCTCGAGGAATAGCATATCAAAAGGGCATAACTCTCCACTTGAATTCATATGTGAATATATAAACAATATGGTGAATAGAAAGGGGCTAGTGAGAGAACTACTTTAGGAATTTGGAAACAGTAAAAAGTTTCCCTTAGAGAGTTAATAATGTGATCTATATAAATAGTTGACTTAGCAAACTAATCAATGTAATTGTAGCAAATAACTATAATTGGGATCATGGGAATAATAAAAACTCTTATACAATAAAAGAGTCATAAGATTATCTTTATATGGTTGAGGATGGTGTTCAAAAATTTAAGATTGGAATTGATGACCATATAAGGTCAAATATGGACAAGGATATATATCTTTAAAATGGTATATAAGACTACTTTTAATAGATTCATTTCTTCTTTTTTCTACTACTATTATTTTAAAAGTAATAGGAGTATTTTTATTAATAATGATAATGGTCTTTACATTCCCAGATGGGTAATAAAGACTAAGAGTGTAATATGAAATTTTAGTAGAATTTTTTTTAACATTTCCACATTTCTTTATATTATAAATATTCACAAATTTTTGGTCTCCCTTGCTTTCTATCTCTGCAAAAACCTAATGTATAGATGAATGAATGAGTCTATAAAATTATTTATATTTTTAGTCTGATGTGTGGTGGTCAATTGTTGAAATGTCAAAATATTGAAATATCAAAATGTTCAAGGGTTAAATTATTGAGATGTCAAAATATATAATACAAATTTTAGCAAACTTCAATATTCCCATTTTTATTTGAGCTGAAAATGATTCTCTTTAACTAGAATATTGTGAATGTATATGAGTTTGGACTACTTAGTCAGTATTTTATTGTATAAAAAAATTTCTCCAAATCATTTTCATAAATTTTAAATTCACGAAGGATAACATTTTTCTGACATGAAATTTCTTTATAAAACTTATAATTAACTATATTTATTTGCATTGATTTGAATTGAATTGAGCTCAACTTATAAACTCGACTCAATTTTGGACTATCCCCAATTCCCACATCCAATGGGCTCACAAACTACCTTTTAAACACTCTAACAAACAAAATTCACCAAAAAAGAACTCACATCAGTGACATAAACACAATGCTCTACTACTTCCCTACAAGCTGCCACATTGTAATGCTGCCTTAAATGAAATAAAACTATCTTTTTAAAACATGGAGATCCACTTTAAAAACTTTTCTTTAGCTAGTAGCTGATCCAGGATCCATCAAGCTCGAAGAACTTCGAGGTCGAATATTGGATGTAAATTGCTGAAAGGCACATTGAGTAAACTGCAATCACCTTGGCTTCCAGGCTGCCATCGTTGGGAACTTGGATCACTTTCACGACCTTGCAATCCTCCTTGACTGCCTAGATGTTCTTCTGGCAGCTCACACCACGGAACATAGACTTGCTATCGCTGGAAGAAGCATTCGTCAGCTGGAGTGCCTCCCACGAGTTGTTGCCACTGTCATATCTCTGCAACGTGTTGGCATCGTAGATCCAGTTGCCATGCACAATACAGCGGCACCCGCACAATCTAGTCATGTCCACCACTTCCCAGGAATGATCTTGTGCTGAGAAAACAAGCGTCTCTCCATTACCAGCGCGCAAGATAACCATCTTGTTACCATCCACGACGAGAGCGTTGCGAAAGGCCATGGTCCCATGCGGTGGCAATGGCGGGAGGGGATACCATCGGTCCTCCAATCGGGGCCCTGCAATCGAATCCCCCAGTGTCGTAGAAGCCCCGCGGTGGAGGAGGAAGAACCATCCACGCTTTCTTGGAGCTACTGGGATTGAACACCATGATCAAAAGTTCGTCCTTTTGCCTGAGGATCACCGTGGCGACAAGCCATTCCTCGTCCAACCCTGTGCAGCGCGATCATCATAGAACTTGGGGGGCTGGAGATGAGATCCCCATGACACTCGCAGGAGGCACTGGTAAGCGGCATCGCTGTCCAGGCCGGGGATGATTGTCGTCGCCATAGCCCAGCTCTATTTGCCCTAACTCCAGATCCAAGGAGCCCTTTATACGCAGAGCAGGGATATGCCCCGGTTGGGCATCTTGACGAGCCAACGTTTCTTTTTCCTTGGCGTCGCTGGCTGCGAGGAATTTGTCGCTTGCCTCTTATGTAGTCGCTATGATGATCACTGCCTCTTCGGGGGCGAGACATGCATCACGACAGCCAAGTCTTCTTTAGGATGCCCCAGTGCGATGACGGTTTAGTCTCTACGTGTTCTACCAACGCCGCGATGCCCACAATGGGGATATGGAGCAAGGACTGCATTGTTTGATAGGATACTCATCAAGGACGAGAGAATCGCCAGATATCTTTAACATGCATGGAATCCCTCGAGATTCCAGAAGAAGCCCACAAGAAAATGAAACAAGAACCTGAAGTGTGTCTGGAAGAGTGTATGCTGGACATTGGTCGTCTTTTCTTCCCACTTTGCAGGCAAGTATCTGGACAAGACAAACCATCGATCAACCTGCTTGAATCAAAACAGAGCAAACTCTAAACCAAGATGGCAACCGACAAGAAGTTCATTCCCGCGTTTGCTTCCCACACACAAGAAAGTCACAACAAGCTAAGCTGTTGGACATCACAGCACTGCAAGAAAACGAGTACAAGCTCGATCACTCACCTGGGCTGGCGGAGCGTCCTGGAGTGACACACTGCGTTGCCGCTTCCCTACAACCCGAATCAAGCTCTCGCGGCCCTGGAGCATTGTAATGCCATCGGCCGCTTCCTCCTCGCCCTCCCAATAGACCTCAACCGTACTAACACAGAAAAAAACCATTTCATAGAACTTTTCATCTGCAAACACGACATCCTTGTAGAAAGAACTTATTCATCTTTAGCTAGTAGCTCATCTAAGCTCGAAGAATCTGAACGGCGAAGCTTATGGGATTGACGCTGGATGCTTGGCTTCCAAGCCGGATCAACGTCACAGCCTTGCAATTCGCCGAGACTGCCCAGATGTTCTTCTGGCAGCTCACAGCGCGGAAGAAAAACTTGTGATCGGTGGAAGAAGCGGTCGTCAGCTGCAGCTCCTTCCATAAGTTCTTGCCTCCAACACAATGATCCGGCCATGTCGTTCCATAGGTGCACAAAGTAGTGGCGCCGGGGCAATCCAGTCGCCACTTCCCAGGAAAGATCTTGGGCTGCGAAAACAAGCGTCTGTCCGGCACCACCGGGCGAGCTCAAGATCACCTGGTTGTGAAAAGATTTCGTTTCCTGCGGTGGAGAACGCAGCATTGGTGCTGCGAAGCTCCATCGATTCTTGCGTGCATCGAAGACGCTCACCGATTTGCAAGGAGATAGAGCTTGGGACCCAGAGCCCTGCACTCGAATCCTCCCGTGTTGGGCTCATCCTGGCGAGCTTGTACCGGCAATGCACATTCTGCTATCACATATGCCCACTTTGGGCATCTTGACGAGGCCATCAAGGTTTTCCACTCCCCTTCTCTCGGAACATCCTATTACGGGTCCTTTGCGAAGAAAATCGCGATGCTGATGCGAGGAAAGCCAGGACGTGGTGACCTGGACGACAATAGTGAGCACATATGCCCCGATTGGGCATGATGACGAGGCAAATGCCGCAACGAACTCTTCGGGCTTGGCTCGGGCCGAGACATGCATCACGCCAGCCAAATCTTCTTTGGGATGCCCCAGTGCGATGATGGTTTAGTCTCTACGTGTTCTCCCAACGGACTCCATGCCCACAATGGGGATATGGAGCAAGCAACTGCATTGTTCGATAGGATACTCATCAAGGATGGCAGAGTCGCGGGGAATGTTCTTTAAGGTGCATGGAATCCCTCGTCATTCATCTCTTTGGGACTCGCATTTCCTGGTCCTCCGCCGAGAGGATCTTTAAGATGACGGTGGAGGCCGAGTGGTGATTCTATCACATCGCGGTCCCGATCGAAGAGCTCTTGAGACGGTGACACTGAGGACTTGGAACTGGCTGTGTGTAGCAGCAATGGATTCTTCGCAGTCCACAGCGGGATGGAATGGCGGAGTTGCTTACCGGTTCTTATGACTTCAAACAAGGCGGAGCAAGTTGCAGAGGCCTGCGCAGCCGTCTCGGGCCCGGCACTACTCGGAGTAGCCGATCTAGGATCGATCATTCATCGTCTTGGAGACCTGGCAAAGTTCCACTGGAACATTAGCGTCCGAGAGAATAAGAAACCAGGCCACCTGTTGCTCGGACAAGCGATCCCCTGGACCCTTGACTTCCGCCAGCTTTGCCTCTTTCTCCTTCCACAGCAGAAGATCAGGCATTCCAGCCGTCCAGTTACTGTGGTCTTCTGCAAGAAGCTTGCAAATCGCCGACAATCCTGGACCTCCGATACAGACCGTTATTGTTTGAAGGTCTTCAAGCGAGTACTTCTCCCAGTTTACCCCGCTACATGATGTCCCGTAGTGCTCTGCCCAAGTCTCAGCCACGAGTTGCCTAGCTCTGCCATCGCGTATGGCTTGAAGACGAGATTCAATAAGCGAGCTTCGGACTGGATAGAAAGAATCCGTGCACAAGTCCAATGGTGCAGTCTGCAAACAAGAACTGTAGAGCAACCACGAGAAAATGAAACAAGAACCTGAAAAGGTGTCTGGAAGACATCTGGAACGTCTGAAAAGATAACATCCCACATGAACAGCCCGAACAATGTCAGCCATATGCCACTTTCTGAATGGACTCCTTTCCAGCCGCCTCCATCTTCTCCGGCATAGTATTGAAGTGCCAGGTCCTCCACACTGCATTGTTGCCCATCGTAGCCATAAAATCTGCTCTTCATTCCATTGGCATTGTTTGGCGGCCTTCCCATAATCGTCACCTTCAGAAACAGAGTTGTAGCTGAAGGCCAAATATCTGGAAGACACAGTACGTACCACTTTGTGTTTTTTCTTTAAAAGCGCTCCATATGGAGGTACTTTCCACCTTCTAGGAGGTTTTCCTAGTCGGAGAACCCTCCGTTGCAAAGCGATACGATCCCCTCCTCGGACGTTGAAATCGTTTAATCCGTTTTCTGCAACGAGCAGGCTCTCTTCTAAACGCTGTAAGTGCTCCAAGTCAATAGATAGCCGGAGAGTCCAGTATCCTCTCCGTCCAGGACAATACTGCATGCTAAGGACCTGCTTGAAGAGGTTTACAGCTTCAGCGTATCTGGTCAAGAGCCAGTTTTCGTTCAAAAGCATTGTCCGCCATTGGTGAAAGAGCGTACCTGCGTTCTTTCTCCAGAAAAGATGCAGCCACAGTACAGATTGTTGCATACACCCATGCAGCCGAAAATCATGCTAAAAATGGATGCTTGATCCTGGTGTGTGCATTGATCAATTCGAGTGTAGTCCTTGCTTTTCGAAAGGAGGAGTTTACAGCCTCAGAATTACCAGCTTCCAGGGACATTGCTGAGCCAATTGCAATGCCTGAAAACTTGACGGTCAGACAAATTTTATAACAAAGTAGGAACGGACCTGCTCATACGCCAGAAAGTCCTCTCGAGAAGCAAAGACTGGCATTGTTCTAGCGCACCTATAGCTTGGATACTTGATCCTTCCAATATCCACAAGAAGAAAAACATGGAACTCCTGCTCACCGTTTAGAAAGAACAGCCTCTGAATAAATAAATAAATAAATAAATTGCTCAGCATCAGCAGTGTAACACTTTGGAGAGGATGTCAACTGACCTGTAAACGCCAAAGTAGAACTTCAAGTGTTTCGGCTATTCGAATGCATGGGCCGGTTGCTTCACGAATTAAAGCCGTTAGATTACTGCCGCCAAGTATTTCACACTTGTATAAAAAACCAATGATCACTTGCTACTTACAAATGCAGAGAAATCAATGCATCTCGAATTGCTGTAATAAGCTGAATCTTTTTCAAACTTAGCGTAGTACTTTTGATCTGTAAGCAGGAACAGAAATAAAAGCAAGGAAGAAAGTCTTAGAAGTAATTACCATGATTTTGCTGTTAACTGCCAAATCTTTGAGCTCCTGTACAGTCAGAAGTTCAAGCAACTCAGACGAATTAACATCCGCGTCGAAAACTAAGTAGCGTCTCTCTGTTACAAGGGAGCAAACCCTTGGCTTTTCCCTTGAGCTTGTCGATTGTTTTCCTGAGTTTCTGAAGTTTTGACTTGGTGCTCTCTCCAAGTTCATTGTCGGAGTCGTCGTCGGAACTGCTGTGAGAATCTGAGTTATCCGTGTCGTCTACTTGTGCGGTCATTCGTCGAGCTTGAACATCTTGAAGGGCGCTTGCGAGTTCGAGGTAAGTGGCAATGTTGATGTGTGTTGCCACTTCTCGAAGGGATCGTCGGAGGCCTTGCATGTACCATTGGTAAAGTAATGTTTCAGTGGCACTGTTGCCGCATTTGCTAGCATGTCGAGTGAAGGTTTGAGTGTAGTTGTCGATGGATTGACCGGACTTTTGCTTGAAATTTTGGATCTTGTGAAGTCATTGGCTTTGAGTGAGGGAAGACTTGAATCGGTCTACAAGCTTGAGTGTGAGGTCGTCAAAACTTGTATTTTGAGGAAGTGTTTGAGCCCATTCGTTGGCTCTCTTTCGAAGGGTACATCGGAAGTAGTATGGAAGTTCAGTCGTCTGGCCGTTGATTCATATTGCTTCTCGGAACTGTTCGACATGTTTCTTGGCATCTTCTGACTTCAAACCATGAAATAGTGGATAGGAGATGTGTCTTCCAATGGGTATGTTGGCGATGGTGGTAGTGACTGCCATTTGCTGTTGGTAGTAATGTCGGTATTGTCGAGGTTGTTTTGTCAGGTTGTCACCATGGAGTCCTAAGGTGATTTGTAGCAAGGGGTTGTCAGGGTCAACAGCAAAGTCGGTGTAAGAGGAAGGTAGTGAATTGTTGTTGTTGTTTAGTGGACTCTTCTCTGTTTTTTTTCTGTGTTGGGACTGTTTTCGGGTGTGTCGTCGACATCGTCGTCGGTGTCGGGTTGCTTGCCAGTGTTGATTTTTGGAAGATGGTGCTCAAACTTGTTGTCGACGTACTTGTCGGAGTTATGTTGTGTTGGTTGTGGTTGTTCTTCTAAATTGTCAAAGAGTTCTTCGAACGTATAGTTGTGTGGTGATTGTGGTTTCTGTGGAAGATTGTTGTTGTCAACAATTGGTTCGTCGATCTCGTTGTTGTTGGATGATTGTAGCTGTTCGGCAGCTCGGTGTGAGTTGTTGACTTTTTTGTCGAGTGCTTGACTATTGGACGATTCGAGTCGTTCGTCTTTACTGCTGTTGACGGGGTATATCGGAGTGCAATTGTAATTGGTGAAGTCAAGTTGTTGTCTTGTCAGCACGTTGAAGTCGAAAGTGTGTTCGAAAAGTCTTGCTGATAGCGGGCTTTGGTAGATGTTGGAAGCAAATGTGGGATATATTGGTGTTGTGAAAATCGGTTGGTATGGCAAAAATGGTGCTGGTCTGGTGAAGTCTGTGAAGCTGGGCAGGAAACTTGGTCGTTCGTTGTCACTGTAGATGGGGTTGGTGAATGTACCTTTGAAGTGGTTGTATGCTGCTTGAAAAATGTTTTGTTGCTTGGGCGTAGTCTGTGTCAATTGCTTGAATGTTTGGTCAGGCTCTGGCACTTTGGTGGGTGCCGTCGAGGGTGCTGCCGGTGGTGTGTTTGGTGGTGTTGTGTAGTTGGAGGGTCTAATAACTTGATTCAACTTCTCTTGGTCTTTCTTTCTCTTTGTTTCTAAATTCTTCAAATCTCTTATCTAAACGTCGGATAAGCCGTTGTCGGTCTTCTTCCGACTTGCTAGATGTTCTTCATGGTTTTGGATACATGCATTCTTCTACTGGTTGTCAGTGTCAGATTCATATCTGCAGTCAATCATGCAGTTCAGGCAGAACTTTGGGAAGACTGTCGGCGGGCCAATTGTCAATAAAGTTGTTGTGAGCTTGTTCTTTCTTTTCAGTGCAAATATCGATGGTGGTGCGTGTTGGGTTGGGTTGTGTTCAGCCAAGTTGTGTTGGGTCGAGTGTGCTGGTGCAGTATGCAGACTAGTCTTCCACTTGCTGGTGCCGAGATGGAGTTCGATGAAGAGTTTTGGATATTTGGGTTTGTCTGGAATGATTTCTTCGATAATGTCGTCGAGTTGTTCAAGACCGGATTGGGCGATGGTGTGATTGGCGAGAGTTGTTGTAGTGAACGTGTTGATTTTGAACCGAGTTCGGACTGTAGTTTTGGTGCTGAGCTACTGACTTTGTAGGAGGGGTTGTTGAAAAATCAGTGGTGCGTTGTGAAGTTGTCCCTCGACAAGTTGTCCAATACCGGGTAACAGAGTGATGGGTTCGTTGTTGGTGTAGGTTCTGAGGATGTGCTTCAATATTGGGAGTGGGCGCAAGAATTGGAATCATGTTGGAGCACTAAGATTGCTGGGTCGACGATTGCTCGGAAGATGGGTTTGTTTCGGCAGTGGTGTCAGTTTGTATTGAGCGTGCTGGTTGAGGGCTTGAGCTTGGAGTGGGTGGTCCTGTGCTCGGAGATGGAGTTCGCCAGTGAAGTTGCTGAGTGCTGGGCAACTGGAGTTTCTTGTCGAAAAGGGTTGTTGGTGTTCTTCGTTGGTGATGGGACTCGGAGATCTTGAGAGAGAGCTTTCATTCTTCAAAGATCTCCTTTGGAAAGCATTTGTCTGTACTGCATTGGACAGTGACCGCTTGGACGCCGTTGATCCATATTGGTGGTGGCATTTGCTTGTTGAATTTAGGCGAATTGGGTGGCAAATTGGGTAGCGAATTTGGGTGAGTTGGGTAGATTGCTTGATCATTCTTGCTATCTGTGCACAGAGAATGGAGAAAGAACGGAAGAATTTGTGAACCTGAAAGGGAATTCAAAAGCCGTGGTCACCAAATGAAGAGGTGTAGAAACTCCTCTTCGCTGGAAATCTATTGTTAGTAATAAAACAAAAGAGAAAAGGGCCCGACTGCGAAGAAGCACGAGTAAAAGAATGCTGTGTATTGATAAGAAAAATGATGGAATGGAAATAGAGATCCACAATTCGGATTCCCCCCTTTGAAAGGCTAGAGGTTCTAACTGCTAGCATATACTATATGCTGTGCATGATTTAATCTATGGCTCCGATGCAGCTTTGGGTTCAAAGTCAGAGTCCCCTGAACTTGGGTTTTTGGTTGATACAGTCCTCCACACTGCATTGTTGCCCATCGTGGCCATAAAATCTGCTTTTCATTCCATTGGCATTGTTTAGCGGCCTTCCCATAATCGTCACCTTCAGAAACAGAGTTGTAGCTGAAGGCCAAATATCTGGAAGACACAGTATGTACCACCTTGTGTTTTTTCTTTAAAAGCGCTGCATATGGAGGTACTTTCCACCTTCTAGGAGGTTTTCCTAGTCGGAGAACCCTCTATTGCAAAGCGATATGATCCCCTCCTCGGACGTTGAAATTGTTTAATCCGTTTTCTGCAACGAGCAGGCTCTCTTCTAAACACTGTAAGTGCTCCAAGTCAATAGATAGCCGGAGAGTCCAGTATCCTCTCCGTCCAGGACAATACTGCATGCAAAGGAGCTGCTTGAAGAGGTTTACAGCTTCAGCGTATCTGGTCAAGAGCCAGTTTTCGTTCAAAAGTATTGTCTGCCATTGGTGAAAGAGCATACCTGCGTTCTTTCTCCAGAAAAGATGCAGCCACAGTACAGATTGTTGCATACACCCATGCAGCTGAAAATCGTGCTAAAAATGGATGCTTGATCTCGGTGTGTGCATTGATCAATTCGAGTGTAGTCCTTGCTTTTCGAAAAGAGGAGTTTACAGCCTCAGAATTACCAGCTTCCAGGGACATGTCAACCACCTGAGCCAATTGCAATGCCTGAAAACTCGACGGTCAGACAAATTTTATAACAAAGTAGGAACGGACCTGCTCATACGCCAGAAAGTCCTCTCGAGAAGCAAAGACTGGCATTGTTCTAGTGCACCTATAGCTTGGATACTTGATCCTTCCAATATCCACAAGAAGAAAAACATGGAACTCCTGCTCACCGTTTAGAAAGAACAGCCTCTGAATAAATAAATAAATTGCTCAGCACCAGCAGTGTAACACTTTGGAGAGGATGTCAACTGACCTGTAAACGCCAAAGTAGAACTTCAAGTGTTTCGGCTATTCGAATGCATGGGCCGGTTGCTTCACGAATTAAAGCCGTTAGATTACTGCCGCCAAGTATTTCACGCTTGTATAAAAAACCAATGATCACTTGCTACTTACAAATGCAGTGAAATCAATGCATCTCGAATTGCTGTAATAAGCTGAATCTTTTTCAAACTTAGCGTAGCACTTTTGATCTGTAAGCAGGAACAGAAATAAAAACAAGGAAGAAAGTCTTAGAAGTAACTACCATGATTTTGCTGTTCACTGCCAAATCTTTGAGCTCTTGTACAGTCAGATGTTCAAGCTACTCAGATGAATTGACGTCCGCGTCGAAAACTAAGTAGCGTCTCTCTGTTACAAGGAAGCAAACATATTATGAAGTACACGATGAAAGAAATTGAGTACCAACTAACTATGGACTGCAGAATTTGTGTCACCAATATCTTCATAGAAAATATTCTGAAGACGGAACCATGGCCCTGAAAAACCACAGTCTCCCTTGAGTCATAGTTTGTGCGACGGCATTGAGCCAATCTTACAAAAAGGCGCTGTCCATCAGACGAGATTGAACGAAATGCCTCGAGACGTTAGAACGTCTGGAGTAAAGAGATGGAGATCCGGTTCCAATACCACTTGGAGCATGTAGAGAAAATTCTGTTGGTATCAACAGCCGTGGTCTTGTCCCTTGTCAGCTGCATCCATCAGACGGCTCCATTTGACAGCCAGCACTTTTTCTTCTGAGAGACTTCCAATAGTCCAACTCTGGATCTCACGGAAATCAAGCTTGAGGCATGCAGCTTCCGATGTACTCTCGGAGACATATCCCTGAAAGCTTTGTGAACAATTGAAAAATGCCCCAGAGATTAGTTACCTGAACGTCTACCACGCCTTTGTCCATGAGAGGAGACAAATAACGCGAAAGCTCTTTTGGAATATGTCCCAGCGAAAGCCCATCCGCTGTAAGCACCTGGCGCAATGTTGTTGTCAGCCATGAAACACGTCCATTCAGTCAAGTTTACCTTCACAGCGTATGTATCCATGGGATTTTCTGGTTCCCTTATCAGGTGAACTCGCATCCCAGCTTGGCACTCGACGTCTTTGTGGTACTTACGGCCAGCAATCCTTGCCTCCAGGCACCCATTGTAAAGATCTCTAGTTTCACTGTTGAGCGCTGCCGGAAGGACGCTGTCGGCCACATCGGGCTCCTCAAAGCTTTCAAGAGTAGAAGAAACTTCCGGTTTCGGAGACCCTGCCGCCGGGTTACAGTCGACCCCAGTCTCGAGCGGAGGAGACTGCTGGATTTCTAGTGCGCAGTTTCCACTTTCCTCGTCCTCTATCTTTTTCGACAAGTTGAAGTGAAAGAGTGTATGCTGGACACTGTTCTTCTTTTTCTTCCCACTTTGCAGGCAAGTATCTGGACAAGAGAAACCATCGATCAGCATGCTTGAATCAAAACAGAGCAAAATCCAAACCAAGATGGCAGTTGACAAGAAGTTCATTCCCGCGTATTTGCTTCCCACACACAGGGCATTCCACCCAGTCACAACAAGCTAAGCTCAGGCCTCCTTTTATTTCCAGGGAAACATCACCGCACTCCAACTCATCCTGCAGGAAAACGATCACAGATCCACCCAAGAAATAGAAGCTCGATCAGAATGGAGGGAAATATTTTATTTGGCTAGGGTTTAGTTCTGCGAAGAGGAAGCGTCCTACACACAGCTCGGCGGTGTTCCATGCAGTAATCTCAGCAATGCTCCGTGGCCGTGAGATGAGAGCTTGATTCGGCTTGTTGGGAAGCGGCAGCGCACTGTGTCACTCCCGGCTCGGGTGAGCCTTTGAATTCACTAGAGCAAAAGCTTATGATATTAAGTGCACATGATTGAATTATAAAATAGATGCCTTCAAAGTTTGGTCACCTGTATTACAGCAAACACAAAGAGATCTTCTTAGCGTGCTTCGACCAAGGGGAGAAGTTAATATCTATATGGCATTTCAAGACTATGAAGTCAATATTCCCACTCCTCAAGGCTATAAAAACTGACCCAAAATTCCATTGCACAACCACGAGTTCTCATACTATCAAGTTCTCATACTATCAATTTAAGTACCATGGCATTAGTCATGATAATGTTTATGCTATGCCTCCTGGGATTATCTCCGTTCTCTACACTAGCATCTCCCTCTAGTATTATAACTGTGTCTGTGTTTAGGAAGTTCTTTCCATCCAACATCGCAAATCCTTTCTACACATACAACGATTTCATTCTATCCCACGTTTGGAAGCTTGGGGAGTCTTGATGTTCAAAAGAGGGAACTGGCTGCCTACTTTGCAAATGTGAAGCAGGAGACTGGAAGTAAACTTGCATAGTATTTATCCATTAATCTCACTAATGTCTTTGATTGTAGCACTGCAATACATTTGAGAGATCAACTGAAACAATGTTTATTGTGAGACTAGCCATGGGATTCCATGTCCTGCAGGTACAAAGGCTTACTGTGGAAGAGGACCTTTGCAGCTCACCAGGTAAGCTGAAAATGTTATATTCAATATTTAAAGTGTATATATACAGGAATTACAATTACAATGCTGCTGGAAAGGCTTTCAACATGAACCTCCTCCAAAATCCAGACCAGGTTGCTGAGAATGGCGTGCTTTCATGGAGGTCATCAGTGTGGTTTTGGATGCAAAATTCAAATTGCCACACCGTAATAACACAGAACCAAAGATTTGGAGGTACAATTTGAGCCATCAATGGAGGTCAGGAGTGTGGCAAGGGCAGTGAGACACAACCTGCATAGAACCACATCAATTATTACAAGGACTTTTGCTCACAGTTGGGTGTTTCACCAGGTGGGAACCTTGGCTGTGCTTAAATAAATGTTTTTAAAGTAATGAATAAGTAATTAACTATTGAGTATGTATTAATAAAAACAAATAATAAATCTGGAAATTGGTTGTTGATGATTGCAATCTTTACAATAGCAAGAATTACTAGAGCTGAAAAGTCATGTATAATAAAGCCGTGTGTGTGTATGGAATATGGAAAGGGAATACAGAAAATGTGCATATCAATTAGCCTAAAAACCCTAGTTTATATATAGGTCCAAAATGAAACTAATCCAACAACTACCAAAATCCTACTACAGTAATATTAGTATATAGCCATACACTTGGACCTTACAGCATACCCTCCTCTCGGAATAATAGAAGATCATTAGGGTTTTCTTGTAGATAGGCTGGGATCTAGAGGAACGTTAAGAGAAGGCATCGGTGGATCTGTACGTGATATTAGTTGTTCTTGATCCCTTTGTATGAAATATTTCAACCACTACACATGCACAATTTCTAGAGGATCGGCCTATTGGATGTCATAGTAAACCTCATAAACTTGCAGTCTAGCTTGCTGCAGCACCTGATACAGTCCTTTCCACTGCGCAAGGAGGCTCTTAGATAAACCATATACCGTAAGATGGGGTAAACAGATTAACACAAAGTCATCCACTTTATACTCTGCAGATGGACAATGATTGGAGTTGTAGCACCGTTGTTCCACCCACTTGTATGTGGCCTAAGTGTTTGGTAGACTCTACTCGGACAAGTGGAAGAATGCTTGTCAAATATTGATCCCACGACCTAGCATCGGCAGTTCGTGGCAATCGCAAAGGTAAACCCAGCTTCGTTGGTAATATTGGATCATGACCATATAGAAGTTTATATGGTGAAACATCAATAAAACTCTGCACCCTTGTGATATATGTATAGCAAAGAGATGGCAAATAACCATCTTAATCCGAATGCTAAAAGTTCACATACTTTACAATCATTCCTTTGAATGTCCAAACGAGCCATTCCACCAAACCGTCTAACTGTGGATGATAAGCACGTGGCGTATCCCTAACCGAGATGTCAAAACATGAAATGCCTTAGCCTTAAATGTGAGACCATTATCCGAAAGAATCCACTCCGAACAAAAATGCTGAAACACCATTCGATTGAGGAGGAAGTATCCAATAGCAGTTGTAAAGGCATTAACAAGAGCACTAACTTCCACCCAATGAGTTAAATAGTCAGAAGCAATAATAACATATTCATTGCCAGCAGTCAATCATGGAAAAGGTCCTATAAGATCAAATGCCACTAACTCAAATGGATGGGAAATTGCAATTGACTCCAACTGTATTTCCACGGCACAAAAGGGAGTATTACAAGCTTGGCACGAAACATAGTTACGCACATACCAGATAACATCATGTCATATATCTGGGCAATAGAAAGACCTACATAGCTTCTCGGTCACATGACGATATTTCATATACCCACATAGAATAGGAGAATCATGGTAAGCATGGAGAAACTATGGAATAAAGACAGAAGGCACCACCAACCGTAAAGAATTATCAAGATCCGTCCCCACAAAATAAAGAAGGCCATTTTTAAAGCGATACTGAGAATGTAAATGCCGGAATGGGAAATCATTAGCAAGTGATGTAGGATTCTCAAACCCATCTCAAAGCCTTCAAATCCATAGTTCAAGCTTTTGAGCCTTGTGAACCTTATCAAGAAAAGGAGATTTTGCTTTACACCTTGTGAACACATAACATCAAGTACAGCAACCGCCAATGGCACAAAATCCTTGTTGAGAAAATCCATAAATGCTGGAACAACAGGCTCGTAAAAAACATGAGAAGAGAGTGGAGAAGGAAGAAGAGCTTGAGAAAGGGCATCAACATCAGCCATAAAACTTTTTGGGTGATGAACAACATCAAAATCATATATCTAAAGCTTCAAAGTACACTGAGCAGTACAACCAACCAAGTTCTTTCACCTCAATAATGAAATAATAGCAGTATAATCACCTTCAAGTAACATTCAAGAACCATATAGATATGCATGAAATTTTTCAAAACCCCAAATTGCTACTAAACACTTCTCTATCGTGGAATAGTTCACCTCCGCTGGTTGTAATGTATGGCTTATATACACAATAGGATGGTGCTGACCAAGCACACTTGGGCTCTCTTGCATCAACACACTTCTAAGATCAATATCAGAGGCATCCACGTACAAAATAAAAAGTCAAGTGTAGTTAGGATATGCTAAAACCAGAGGAGTCATCAAAAGCTCTTTGAGATCCATGAACGCTTGCTCACAATCTGGGGACCAGTTGAAAAATGATATTGATGACTTCAGCAACGCTCACAATTGTGCAATGCGATAAAAAAGATGATTCACAAAACAACCAAGATACTACACTTTTCCCAAAAAGCGTTGCACATCATTCATAAACTTTGGAGTAGGGAACTTTAGAATAGGTATAAGTTTATCAGGATCAACTTGCAAACCCTCATAAGAAATACAGTACCCAAGTTAAGTTGTGTCCTTGAACCCAAACACGCACTTTGACAACTTCAACTTTAAACCAATGTCCCATAGCTGATCCAACACTTTACAAACATCACAAATGTGCTTCTCCCATGTCCCCTTAGAATGGATCAAGATATCATCAATGAAGTTAACAATCACCTTCTGTATATTGCAAAAAACTTCGTCCATCATCCGCTAGAAAGTTGCTAGAGCATTGTTTAAACTAAATGGCATCACCAAGAACTCGTACAAACCAAACGGTGTACGAAAAGTAGTCTTAAGAATATTTTCTTCAATCATCAGTACTTGCTAATACCTAGAAGCAAGATCTAGCTTGATGAACCAATGACTTTGCCCTAGACAATCCAAAAGATCAGCAATGTGAGGAAAGGTGTACACATCCGGGATCGTCACTTCATTTAATGGATGATAATCGATACAGAAATGAATACTCCTATCAGGCTTCTTCACAAAATAAGATTCACATGCCCAAGGACTCTATAACTTCCGAATAATACCCTTCTCTAACATCTCCTTGACATTTGCAAATAAAATCTTGATCTCTTTAGATGACCGACGATGAACAGGAACCTTGATTAGATGAGCATCCCTAGTTGGAATCAGATGATGTGTGGTAATCTTGGTCCTAGAAGATAGGTCAAATTCAAAAAGATCAGAATACTCCTTCATAAGCC